CAGCAGTCTATCTCCAAATACACATATGAGAGGGTCATGTCTTAATTCAAGGGACACCTTGTCAATTACCATTCTCTTAACAATGTTTGAGCATCTTTCTGATGGCTGTCCTTTGTATGGAAGGAGAGCAGAGACAGCAGTTTGAATCTTCTTTTTTCTGGGATTTAACTTCTGACTCGAACATTGTTCTGCGACACCGTTTCTCATGTTTCCATAGTTCATCTTTTATGAAGAACCCATAGCAAATGTTGCATGGCAAATAATCTTCTGCATTTGCATGTTTTAATGGCTGTCTAAAGATTACTATCTCGCCCTCACCCTTCTGCAACACCTCACCCCAACAACTAGTTTTATAAATCTTACCTGGACAATTTGCAGAAGTTTTTTTCATCGTCTAATTCAGCTTTTACGATTCTCTTCTTGTCGTATCTCTCAGCACACCAATTGTGGTGCTACTGCAGTGTCCGAAGTGTTGAGGCATGCATTTAATGCAACATTAGTTGAAGGTGAGACTCAAGCACCAGATGTTAGATATTGTTTTAATTGCCACCCACTTCTAAGCTGCCCTGTCTGTGCCCTTTTAGAGACACAGGCAGTATTGCATGAATTCAGCTTAAGCAGTATTTAATCAGAGCATGATACTTTATTTTATTGCATGGGTTGCACTTGACAAGAGACTCTGTATTGTGTCTTGAGGCAAATAAAGAGGCTGATATTGCTAAGACTATTTGGACTGAATGGAGCTGATGGAGCTGGAGCTCTAGGTTTCTGGTGAACAGTCACCGGCCACATCAACCTGCCTCTCAGGGGCAGCGTGTAAAGCTGCTGATAATGTCGAGGGTGAACTCAATTACTGTATAAGGCCAGACAAGTAAAAGCAGAACACTCTATTTAATAAGAGCACTGGTCACAAAACAAATGGTACACAATGCAGGAGTCTGATTCAGCATGTATCACTCTCTGGTCAATAATCCAGTCCAGGGTCAGAGCCAGCGCCAGCACACACATCCAAGGTATCCACAAGAAGAATGGTCAGCAAGGGAAGTCCATATGTCAATGCACAGAATACAATCAGAATCAGAAGGGTTAGGCAGTAATTACTGGTCACAAGGCAATCCGGGATCAGAGCTGGAATCACAGGTACAGAGTCCAGAGTTCCTAGAGTCCACAGAAGTAGAATGGGAGGCTGAGCATTTAACTATCAAGCTCCTCTCCTATGGAACCAACTCCCAGTCTCAGTTTGGGAGGTGGACACCCTCTCTACCTTTAAGATTAGACTTAAGACTGTCCTTTTTGGTAATTCTTATAGTTAGGGCTGGATCAGGTGACCCTAAGCCTTCCCTTATTTATGCTGCTATAGGCCTAGGCTGCTGGGGGGCCCCATGATGCTCTGAGTTTCTCTCCTCTCCTCCCCTCTCCTCCCCTCTCCTCTCTCTCTATGCATCTATATGCCACCATTACACATCACTAACTTTGTGTCTCCTCTCTCCCATAGTGTGTCCTCTCTCTCTCCCTGTACCTTTCTCCAGGTAGTCCTGGCTCTGGAGCTCTACATCTCTGATGAGCAGTCACTGGCCACATCAACCTGACCAGTGTTTGATTGTTTGTTGGGCCTTGTTGCTTTTCTTTTCTCTCCTCTATCCACTCACCCCAACCGTTTGAGGCAGAAGGCCACCCACCAAGAGCTGAAGGTTTCTTCCGTTAAAGGTTTTTTCCTCCCCACTGTCGCCAAGTGCTTGCTCAAGGGGGTTTTCCTTTATAATAATAGTGATAATAGTAAGGTCCAGACCTTACTTTGTAAAGTGTCCTGAGATTACATTTGTTGTGATTTGGCGCTATACAAATAAAATTTGAATTGACTTGGTTTGGCTCAGCAACCAACTCCAGGAAACAGTCAGGGCTGAAGAAAAAACCATCGGTGGCAGCTTGCCCTCCATGGAGAACATGTACACCTCACGGGTCAAAAGGAGGGCAGAAAAGATTTCTGCAGACACCTCACAGCCTGCCATCTTGCACCTCCAGCTGCCCTTGTGTAACTGTTTTGAAGTCCTGTTAATTTAAGTTTACTTGCCTCTTGTGTGCTCCTTGAACTTCACCTAAAAGAAAACCTGAAGTTAATGCTCCCCTGTGTGTTTACCCTCATCTCCTCAGCCACCTTGCCTGGACATCAATGTTTTCTGTTGACTTCTCCCAGACATCCACCATCTTCTGACTCCTCTGCCATTTCCTCTGCAGCAGGAGGACCAACCGACACCAGCCAGCTCCACAGCAGTCCAAGCCACCACTGCAGCTCCAGCCTCAGCAGTCCAAGCCACCACTGCAGCACCAGCCCAAGTGGTCCAAGCCACCACTGAGGGGGTCGGTGATGATGCCACTCTCCTGCTTCCAGCTCCAGAGCGAGTCAATGATGACGCCGCTCTCCTGCTTCCAACTCCAGAGGGGTTCGCTGCCCTGCTTCCCGCTCCAGAGGGGTTCACCACCCTGCTCGCAGCACCAGAGGGGTTCGCGAATGACAACGCCATGCTTCCTGCTCCGAAGGGGGTCGCTGTCATCTTGGCCCCTGCCTGTGTTCCCTCCACCAGAGCCGCATCATCCCTGCAGCTCAGCACACCATCGGTCCTCCTGTCCGGCACCCCATCTGTCCGGCACCTTGGTCGGCTGCTCCTCCGATGCCTTGTCCATTCCCAAGGTCACTACGCTACGAACTGCCGCTATGCTCTCAAGCCTGGCGTCGAGGTCGTCCTCCCGAACGGCCGCTACGCTCTCAAGCCTGGTGCCGAGGTCATCCTCCTGAACGACCGCTATGCTCTCAAGCCTGGCACTGCAGTTGTCCTCCCGAACTGTCCTTCTTCACCCCCTAGCCTGACAACTAAGTTGTCCTTTTGGGTGTCCCTGCTTTTTTTCTTTTGGACTGCCTTTGCCTTTTTTGGGACTTTAGTTGTTTATAGACTATGTTCACTGTTTTGGGGACCTTTTGTCTTTGTCATTGTTACTGCAGGGGTTGTCTTTTGTTTCTGCCTGTGGCCCGCCTTCTGGTCCCCCTCCTCCTGCCCTGCCCCTTTTTCTGTGGGTTTTTGTTTTGGCTGCCTGGGATCCCACCCTTGGGGGGGTACTGTCAGGTCCGCTCGGCACGGCCTGCCTCTCTTCCTCCTTTCTCTCTCTCGACCTGTGGGATCAGTGCCTCAGCTGTGTCATATTGGGTAATCAGCGACTCGTTGGGTGATGCGCACAGCTGAGGTGCATGCGACTAATCAGTTTCCTTCCTCATTTACACGCCTGGCAGACGCCCCACCATCGCCAGAGCATTAACTAATTACAGTAAATGGACTTCTTATGCCAAGTTATTTTTGACGCTGACAGTCCCTGTGCTGTTGATTATTCTTTGGACACTGGCAGTGTGAGTTTTCGCCACAAGTGAAGTAAGTCTTCAGCGCTGACAGTTTACTGTGTGTTGATATGCTTCGGTAGCACTAGCCATGGGTGCTAGCAGTGAGCGCTACACCTGCCCGATCTTCTGTTCTCCTGTGTCTCTCCTGCCATCTCAACATCCGCCATTCTCCTGTCTACTCACCTGCTCATCCTGGTCTTCTCAGCCATCACTGCCAACCCTGGTTGTGTGTATACATTGACTCTCTTACTTTGTGGGGGCACAGTTTTAAAGTGGTTTGGCTCTTTCTTAAGAGATAGAACTTTTTCTGTCACTATTGATGAGTCTTCTTCTGATACAGTCCAGCTTACTTCTGGCATTCCACAAGGATCGACTTTGGCACCGCTACTTTTTTCCTTATATATCTCACCATTGGCGTCAATTATATCCAGGCATAATGTTCATTTTCATTTCTACGCGGATGACATTCAAATCTATATGCCACTGGTATTATCTGACCCAAAAGCATTTACTCCATTGTATGACTGTATTCGGGATATTAAGAACTGGCTTGCTCAGAATTTTCTCCACAAACGAGAATAAGACGGAATTTATACTTATCAGCCCCGACCAAGCCACAGGTGTATCCAGCTTATGTGCCGCTGCTCCTGCCCCTGCACATACTGACATGGTAAAAAGCCTGGGAGTGATATTTGATATGGGTTTTAAGTTTGATAAGCAGATCAGATCCATTGTTAAGACCGGTTTCTTTTATCTCAGACTCTTAACTAAGGTTAAGCCTTTTTTATCTCGGGTAAACTTAGAAAAGGCGATTCATGCTTTTATCACTTCACGTTTAGATTACTGCAATGCCCTGTACTTTGGTATACCTCAGTTGCTGCTTAGAAAACTTCAGCTGGTCCAAAATGCAGCAACTCGGCTTCTGTCCAACACTCCCAGGCTTGCCCACATTACTCCGGTTCTCCGCACTTTACACTAGCTGCCTGTACATTTTAGGATCGTGTTTAAGCCTCTTATTTGTGTTTTAATGCTTTACACGGCCTTGCCCCACCTTACTTGGCAGATCTTTTATCTGTTTATGTCCCGTGCAGAGCCTTGCGCGCCTCGGAAAACGTATCCCTAGTGGTCCCACGGTCCCGATCCATAAATTGGGGGGACCGTGCATTTGCCGTTTATGGCCCTTGACTGTGGAACTCACTACCGCTAGAGATTCGATCTATGACCGAGCTAATGGTTTTTAAATCCAGATTAAAAACGTATCTTTTTAAACAAGCTTTTGAGCTTTAATTTGTTTTATTTGCCGTTGAACGGCATTGTGCACATGTTTTATATTTTATGATTATTGGGTTATGGTTTAGTAGTGCTCTGTTGGTTTTAGTATTGTTTTTAGTGTATAGTTATCCTTATTTTGTGCAGCACTTTGGGCTCCCCGAGTTGTAAAGTGCTATTGTTTCTTCCATTAAACTTCCATTTTTCCACTAGCACCTGGGTCTGCAAACTTGAGTCCTATCTCAGTTCTCCCTCACCTCCATGGTGAGGGGACTCAACCATAACACAGTGAACTAAAAATCCAGCATTCATTTGTTCCTGTTACTGCTCCATGATCATTTACCTCCAGATGTAAGCCTTAGCCATGATACTCTCAAGTCGGTTGCTGAATTCAAAGAAGGACTCAATCTAGAACACACAAGAAAAAAACACGGGAAAGTAAAATTTAATTATACAGAAATAATTTTTCTTCATTTACATTATTACTAAAAATTGATCATTCGCCTGCCTACCCTGATGAAGCGGTTGAGTCGGTACATGGAGGAAAATTGAAAGTGCAGGCAGAGAAGGTCAAAGGGGAGGATGCTGATTATATCGGTCTGCAAACAGAAATAAAGGTGGTTAGGTTTCACAACAACCTACTGAACCTGTGAGGTTATAGTCAGTGGTAAATTCAAAAGATTTATAGCAATGGGACACACAGTGGTTGAAGAAATAGTAATATTAAGTCAAAGTACCAGTTAAAAGTACAAACTGTTGTATTTAAATTCATAAGTATTATTTGACATTACATTATTGTAAACACAACAATTTACTGTTGTATAAGTTCAATGTCATTTTAACCAAAATAAAACAAACATCACTTGCCAGAAATGAATTTGTTACAATGATTAAATGTTTGAGCAACATGACCAAGCTGACAGCCACCTATCCACCATCCATGGCTACATACTGAAACTTAAACAAGAACTTCAAGGAGACAAAGACATTCAAAGAAAAACTAAAATGAGGAGTGAAGCGATAATTGACAGCACTGAAATACAAGGCTGTGGCTAAGGAAGCGCTCAGAGAACAACCTGGTGATACAAGCTTAACTAAAACCCAGACATGCATAGTGGCCCTTCAGGAGCAAAACACTGAGGCAAAAGACCTGCTCTGGAGAGGTTGTTCAGAAATGACAGTACTCAAATCTAGAAGCACCAAACCAGCAAAGTTGCCAGCTGTTTGTAGATCATTAAAACCTTTAAAAGTGCTGATTCTGTAAACAGGAAACAGAAACGATATGATCAATCTGTGGGTGATATCATATGAGATTGTGCAGTGATCCTTGACATTACCCATCTGCCAAAGTTCATATAAGGACATCTATGTCACTGACCTGCCGCTCACTCCACATTGACACTAATTCTGTGACCAGCTCAGACCTCTCTGAATGAAAACATGTCTGGTCCTGTATTTATTATTGCACTGTGCATTTTACAGTGTAATCTCTCTCTGTTGGTTACTGATGTGAAATATTGAAGCATTTAGGTTGCTATATAGCTAAAGCATTAACATAGTTTGGAAATTGTTACTTTAATAAGACACTGCATTATAAGATAAAAGTATAACCTTCATATGGCTGTAGCGTGTTCACTCATTATTAAATGCACTTCTGCTCCAAGGGAGTTACCAAGGGAAAGAAACTGATTACACAGTGGAATATCAAGTTGTCTGCAACACTCCACTATTTTTCATTAAATGCACTTAAAAGGATAAGTTTTAATAATGTAATCTTCACAGTCTCACGGAATGCTTATTAAATCATTGTGTGTGTGCTTCTCTTATCACAAGAATGTAACTTTGGTTTCGAGGAGGTGTACAAGCTACAGATGTGTATTATGAGAGAGAATGTTGGCTAGTATCAATTGGTTTCATCTGCAGGATGAGACAATGTGTAGGGGAGGGGGAAACTAGCATAAAACACACAGTCTAAGGTAGTTTCACTTCAGATCATCTGCTCTGCTGCTTGCTGTATGATCTCCAGATATATCTGCAATAAAAGGTAATAGTGCACTTTGATATTGGTGTGTGACTGAAATTCTTTCCACTATCTGGACTCGAGAAGAAGTCTGGGACTTCACACTGACTAGTTCAGAAAGGGACATGAAAAATAGAAATGTAATGTGCAATGAAAATTAAACAGCAGTATGTAGCAGTTACTTCACTGTTCAGTTTTTGTTGTAACAGTGTGATTTTGAGACTATAGCTACAGTACTTGTTGTGGGCCGTCATATGAAAAATGATTCTGTAAAGTAGCTTCTTTGTCAGGCACCTTAAATTTTTTATTTATTTATTTATTCTTTCAAACATGTAACAACAGTCAATATGTAACCACATGTAATTCCACACATATCCACAATATATTTTCAATTTGCTTATACCTAGTACATGCTTGAACGGAGTAGGAAGAAGTTAGACTTATCTAGTCCTACCCCCTAACATCATCTTATCATCATTGGTTTGCAAGCAGTATTACTACATGGATACATATTCTACATCCACACAGAATCTTTTTTTGGTTGTGCGTATAGCATAATTTTATAATTTAACAGACCCCTTAGGTTGTATCCCCCTTCCCTTTCATTAAATAGTTTTTGAATTCCACCAGGTAATAAATTATTCCTGGCTTTATACATAAACACAGCAGTCTTGTGTCCCACTAAATCAAAAAAGTTTAACAATTTAGACTGTATGAAAGCTCCATTGGTGTGATCCCTGTATCCCAGCTTATGCACAATTCTTATCGCTCTTTTTTGTAATATATACAATGGTTGAAGTGAGCTTATGTATGTGTTTCCCCAGTTTTCAACGCCATACTCCAAGTATGGTAAAATCAACAAAGAATACAAAATACGTAGTGCTTTTATGTCCAAAATATGTCTAACCCTTGCCAATATCGATATGTTTTTTGCTATTTTATGCTGAATATATTTGATATGAGATTTCCAGGTGAATCTATCATCCACTATGACACCTAGAAATTTAATTTCATATACTACATAAATATGGCTTTTACTGGGTTATCAAAAACACCAGTCTGCCTTTCCCTCTTCTGGTGTGGAGTTCATGCTCACCCTAACCTATCTGGTCTCTGAGAATATTCATCCAGATTTATGTGCTGTCTCACATGCAGACAAGTCTGCTTCCCTGTTTAAGGAGAACCACACTTATCCACCTGTGTGCTTCTCTGTTTCCACTGTTTTTCCTGCCTAACTACTTACTTCACCCTGCTGTCGTCCTCCTGGAAACAGAGTGGACCTCTCACCTTCTTGTCTGTCCCATTCTCCACAGAGGAAGCCCGGTTCTACTTACCTGCCTTCTTACCTGAGACGCCATTTTCTGGGTTCGCTCACCTAAGTCTGCCGGTTGCTCCTACTGGGCCTCCACCACTTTTCTGTCCTAAAAAGAAACCACATATTTGTGAGTACACCGAGCCACACCCTATATGTCATACAAACCGTAAGGAGAGTCCTGAAGTCGAGTGCTCCCTTCCTGTCCAGTCATGGACTTGCTCACCCCAGAGTGGCTTTGCCCTATTTACAATATCCCATAATAAAATTGCTGCTCAAATATAAAAAATGTACATTTGCATTACAGCAAGCATGAGACATATCACTTAATAAAAACTAGACCACTCAGAGTGGAACCTTTGCCAAGGGGTAAGTCTTTTTACCCATGATGCCATAAGTGCCATGAAAACCTACTGCTGGCATCTGGAATGATGCTGATTATCTTTATTAGTTTGAAAGTTATTCAAGAAAAACAATAAACATGACAGACATTCAGTCATTGGTTTAGGGATGAAACAGGGACATCAGTGAGTCGACCGCAGGCAAAGTGGTGAAGATGTCACATTTCTGTAAGTTTGTATTCTGCTTATTCAGCTACTCACACGGCCTCCGTTAGTGGCTGATTGTTGCACTGTGGAGTGACCCTTCATGTCCTGTGCACTCCCTCTGCTCAGCTGTGAGTGTGTCTCTTCTAAACAGAGACTGACACGGAAAAATACAGTGGAGAAGCAAAGTAGGATGGTCTGTATCAACCCATGAGGTTATGCCGGGTGATGATAAAGCATACTACTTGTTAGGTTTCGACAGTGGAACACAGCTATCATGCTCCTGGAACACCGGTGTCCTTGCTGACAGACTACTGTGCTCTGAACGAGATGTAGTTGACTGCTAACAGAGCTAGCTTGGTCAGATAATGAGCACTCACATCTCTGAAAATGTTGGAACAAATTCTAAATTGGCATCACCTGAATAGACTGACCACATATTCTCAGTCTAATTGGTCACTTTGTCACCTGAAAAAAATGTCAGAATGTAAAAAAGTGCCATAATACCAGTCCAACAAATGTTAACAGCTTTGAGCCTGACTCAAAATCTCTGTCATCAGGCTCTTGCCCAGCTGTTGCTGCATAGAGCAGATCTCTGTTTTTGATGAAGGCCCTTTGCCAAAATTTGTTGGTCTTTACATTAAAGTTGCTCCTAACACTACAGGTGTTGCTGGACCTTATGTTTTTCAGTTTGTTTTTACTTGTTTGTGCATCTTGACAGTGGATGAAGTTGTGCCTAAGAATTTTGCTGGAATTGTTGGGAAGTCCCAGGTATTTCACTGCTGTAGGCCTGTTAACACCTGGAAATGTTTTCAAAATGCACATTTGAGATGCCGCAGATCTGCACAGAATCGATCACCACCAACACAGTTTAGCTGCCAGACATCCACCAAACAATATAGTTTATCTCCAGCTTTCTCAGCAGCCAGAAATCCCACTGCAGTTTGTTTCTAAAATAAAAACTTAGATGAAATTCTGAAGTAGGGAAGATTTTCAAAATAAAAGCAGCCATATGGTTATTAAAAAAGCTTGTAAATGAGTACATTTACAGCAAATGAATGTACTTAGTTACTTTCCACCACTGAATGTACATTTTTATTCTCACCTTAAATCGTTGAGATTTCCGATAATGTACCTTTGTTACAGCTCGGTCTTTCTGCAAGGGATGTCAGATTTTGTTAATTACACACAGTTCAGGTGTTTTTTGGATGTACACAGAACACTTAAACCTAGTAATAGCCAACTGTCAGAGATACATATTATACACTGATCATCAACAGTAATGCTTCAGAATGTTTTGTGACTTACAATGATGTCTCCAGCTTTGACAAACTGAAGTCTTGGCTGCCAAACCATGATGTCAGTAACATTCACTATGTCAGAAAGAATATCAAAAAATATCCAGTAGGGGTTTGTGGTTCGACTGTGGAAAGGGAACACCAACCGGGCAGAGCAAAACCAGATGTTGTAGTTGTATGCCACTGCTACCACAGTCAACCAGGTGATGTAGTGACGATCTGGAGACAGAAAGCCACACCAGTTTAGTATTTTTATCTGCCTGTGTGTTGTTTTAATTTCAGCTGTCACATGGACCTCGTCTACCTGTAAAAGGATCTATGGTGCTCCCCAAGATCGTATCCATCTTGTCCTCGATTGGACGGAAGAGGACATCAAAACATGAGCAGATGATGTCTGGGAAGACCTTTGCTTTCTTCCTGGCCTCGTCCTCTCGCCTCTCCTCCTCTTCTTTTTTCTTGGCCTTGAGCCGTTTCTCCTCATCGTTCTTCTTTTTCTCCTCTGCCATCTTAGCTGCCTCTTCTGCCTTCTTCTTATCCAGCTCTTCTTTAGCTGTTCTCTCCTCTTTCTTTCTGACGTAGTCCTCTTTCTTCAGAGTAGGAGCTAAGAGGCAAAGAGAGTGAAGCCTTGTTAAGTGGCCCTCTGCGTTTCGTGACTGTTCTTTGCATTGTATGAATGTACTTACTGACAGGTGGTGTGATTTCTGGAGAAGTGGCATAGGGATCTCTGACTTTCTCTTTGAGCATCTCTGTCCTTTCTCTTAACCTCTTGATCAAACCTCTGAGTATGTCATCTGTGTACTGGGAGTAGACGACCGGCAGAGGAGGACGAGAGGCATCTTTACTGAAAGCATTAAAAGCAAAAAATTGGAGTGAATGTAGGAAAACCATAAAAGGTGCTTAATGGCAGAAAATGCTGGGAAATAATATTTAGTGTCATATTTTACAATTTACACACAAACATGAGTAGTTATTGAGGAATGAATTAAGAACGACCTGATAATTAATGCAGTGTTTGTGAGTAGTTCCTGAATAACTTGGAACTGAGGACTAAACGGTACATAACGATGAATGACTAGAGGACAGAATTGGAGACAGCATCAGCTCCATGGCAGATTAAATGGGGGAAATGTGATCTTACAATGCCAATGAATCTCACAGCATTTGTCCAACAAGTACCACTTAATGCACTGCTGCTTTATTTAAAGAAACAAACATGTACAGTGTTTCACATAGCACAGAATGACACACAGGCAACTGCCACTTCAGTTTGGTTTGAATCCTGTTTAGTTTGAAGCTGCTTTTAAGTTTTGCTTTCTCTAAACCAACCACTGTGAGTCAACACATAACCATAATGAAACTTGTTAAACCAGCTAGTTTTTGTCACTGGCAGCAGCCGTGGTCGTGGTGTTGTGTTTGAGAGAGATGTAGAGTCAGCTGGTTTAGACTTTAGCTCTGGACACGCTCCTCGGATATCTTTGTGTTTTCAGGTTTTCTGCTCTTGTTCCTCCATAGGATTAGTGTGTGTGTGTGTGTGTGTGTGTGTGTGCGCGCGCGTGCATGTGGTAGCAGGCTTCGTTTGGTGCATTTGTTACATTACACTACTAGTTCATTATGTACAGTACAAGCATGACCCCAGGGATCATGAGAAGGTAATATTCATTAATAGACCTGGATAGGTTTGTCTTTATATACTTGTGCGAACAAACCCCTGATGGAACACCTTTCTTGTGTGGACAATTCTTCTTGTGTGGACCTTTTGGGTGGTCCACACAAGGAAAGTGTAAGGATACGCTCCTTTCATCCTAAAGAATGATCTGTCTAAGTTTCAGAAGATGTCCACATACAGAGAAAAGTCAGAAAAATGTGTGCCAGCTTGTGCTATAAAAGTATCATGCTCTGATCAAATACTGCTTAACCTGAATTTATGCAATACTGGCTGTGTCTCTAAAAGGGCAGAGACAGGGCAGCTTAGAAGTGGGTGGCAATCAAAACAATATCTAACATCTGGTGCTTGAGTCTCACCTTCGACTAATGTTGCATTAAATGCATGCCTCAACACTGCGGACACTGCAGTAGCGCCACAATTGGTGTGCTGATACGACGAGAAGAGAATCATAAAAGCTGAATTAGACGATGAAAAAAACTTCTGCAAATTGTCCAGGTAAGATTTATAAAACTAGTTAGTTGTTTTGGTTTGAAACTAAATTCTGGTTTAGTCTCTGGCTCATTCTCCAGCGTTAGTATTTGTGAAGCTATTAAGCTAATGTTTGCTTTGAGTTATTTCTTTAAATCAAGGCTCACAACTTAAAGCTATTCAAATTGTCTTTGAAGATATGCCAACTTTATGTAGGAAAATAAAGCTGATGTATGCTTTATTTGTAACGGTTTTTCCGTAACATTGTCAATATGTTTCAAATTTACTCTGAATTTTACAAATGATGAACAGAAAAAAAAGGCACAGGAGGAATTGGTATGTATATATTTATGCTTTTTATTTTGTTGTGGGCTACAGTAATGCAGCCCAACTGCAAAACTTTATAGGCTCATTATTTGAATAACTACTATTCTAATCTGCTTGTTCTTTCAGGAGGGCTGTGCCACAGATGACTCTCTGTCAGAATCCATTCCTGACCTGGAAAGTGAATATATCCCATCATCTGAAGAAGACCCCTGCAACACAAACAGCAATAATGGGAATCCTGATGACAGCAGCAACAATGAGGATGAGAGTAGGACAGTGGTTACAGTGAAAACCTGCCACAAGGGTCAAAAAAGAAAGTGGGACAAGCGTCATTATTGTGTATACTGCAAAAAAACCACAAAGTACAATGGCATGGCATTTGAGGTGGAAACACAGCAGTGAAACAGA